TCCAGGTGCATTAGTCTTTGTAATACAGTCTGTTGCTCTATGTCGGACAGGTACTGTTCTGGCCAAGTTAAATCACACCCACTCCATGAGCCTGCCCAAGTCAGAAGGTGAAGCAGATGGAAAATAAAGTTATACATGCAGATAGCAATATCTTGATTTGATTGGGAGGGACAGATGAGAAACTGGGCAAAGAGCAGAAAGAACAGGCCTCAGGGACTGGTGGTAGAAGGACAAGCCAAACCGGTTTAAACATTAATAATGCTGCATTACTTTCCAAATACCACCATCAACAAAACATCAGCTCAGCCAGTCAGTTGCCCAGTGAGTTCTGGGAAGTGTGAACACTTTTTTGAAGCATTAGTAATAAAGCAGGCAGGTGTTGCAGCAGAAAAGCAGAGCCTACTACCTGCTTCACTCAGACCCCTTCTCTCCCCTCACATCTCCCATTTAATAAGAGCTTGATTAAAGAGATCATCTGGATGTTATCAGTGCAGGACTAGTATATGAAATGGTGCTATGATCTGGCATGCCAACCCCTAAAAGGTTGAAGCACAGCACCTCAAAGATTGGTTTTAGGTACGTAGGATCAATGGAGCTCATAGGAATGGTCTCACATTTAAATATTACATCATGTTAACATGATCCAGTCTGTTACTTAACATAAACAGAGCATAGGAATTATGCCATGGAGCTTTCAGGAATATTTTCAGCCCTTTTGCATGTGGTAAGGCTGCCTCAGCCAGAGAAAACCTGGCTGCAGCGAGAGCCGCATGGGGCATCACATGCCACTTGAAAGAAGTAGAGCTTGCTCCAAAGCATTTCTGGCTCTTGCATTGTACAGGCTCTGCGGGAACATCACCATACAGGATCACATAGCCCTCAAGGCCCTGTCCTTACACAAACACAAAATAGACTCCATGCCCTGTGGAGTCTCAACAATATGTCTGCACCCTCTCCATATCTTGGGTGTACAAAAATTACAGGCCACATGCTGTGTGATCCAGCATGTTGTACCAACATGCTCCCACACTAACCTAGATGCTGCATCACCAGAGACCGTTCCTCAGTGGGGGTTGGCCCATTCTACTAAAGCAAACTTGGTGGTGCAAATAAAGTCAATATGGCAACACTAGAATACAGCCAAACTAATGAAGCATAGGGCAATATGCTGTATTGAGTGTTCTGTAAACTCAGCATAAGGAGTTATAGATACAGCTATGCAGAAGTGTTTTCTTTGGAGGCATCTGAACCCTTTAGGACACAGCCTACTAAATCCACAGCCCATTATATTCCCCCAAGCACACTAGGTTGCAATGTTAATTTCATACCAAATGTGGTCAAAGAGCATCCAAAAGTTGTACTACCCAAGACGTTTTTGCCCTGTGCTAGGCTTTGGATTTAGTTGTGCCTGATGGCAGCCATGACAAGGATTCGGTATCTGATGAATTCACTCGGGCTAGCTGGTCATAAAGAGGGCTGCCAAATGTTAAAGGAGTAGACACTTCATGTATTCTGGCCTGAGAGCTTTCTCGCTAAACCACCAGCATCTTGGATTAGCACTTCAGGGCAGAAACTTGAACAAAAAGTAATAAGTGGTGACCTGCCTATAGAGCCTCAGGCTGCAAGTGAAACAATGGGGACAATTAAACCTAGTTTGGGGATACTCTAATCTCTTGCAATTGCCCCAGTCCCAATGCAATCCCTACTAACCAGCACCAAAGCAGGATGCCTTCTGACTGGAGCGTAGACACTTGTTAAAATTAAAAGTTAAAAGCCAGAAACCCTCTGAGTTACATACACGCCTGGTGTTTGTACAGGGTCCTGACTCATTTTGCAAATTAGAGAGGGTCTAATGCCCATAAAAATGAGGGGTCCCAATAGAACTACATGTAGAGACGCTTGTAATTACATTTTACAGCACTCACTATATCTGAGCACCTTACAAGTTCAAAATATGATAATGTTGGGGGATTTTTTAAAAATTCCTTTCCATCCTCCCTCAGACTTTTGATCTCCATACATCTTTGCTCTCCAATCCTAATCTATATCCTTGATATGCAAGTTCTGCCCCCCCCCTCCCAAATTCTACCATTGCACCTCAAGCCTAACCCGCAGCATCCCCGTTAGCCCACTCCTGAGGCTCTTTGAGAACTACTGGGGTACAGACAAGCAAGAAGAGCAGGGTCCATCCAAGGGCATGGTAGTCACAGAGGCAGAATCAGAAGGGGAAGGCACAGTGGTAAAGGAGCACAAAAGAAACAGCATGTATTGTGGTAGATTAGTTGCAGAGTGAGTAGGAGGAAGGTTGTAAGGCATGGGACTAATGCTGATAAAACAGAGCCTGCAGGGCAGGAGGGTGGGTAAGTTGGTTGGTAAGAAAGTAGGGTCAGCATCAGAAGAGGTATCTCCTGATAGGAGATGAAAAGAGGAAGATTTGTGAATAATCAGAAGGAGCTGGAGGACCCAATGTTGGCACAGAGA